TCTTCTGGGTATTTCTTCGAGAGGTTGCTAGCTTCTACAAGGATAACTTATAACATCTTTTCTTCGTTACAGAGTGAAAAAGTTAACCTCCTCTTTACGAGATCCACCGTTTCCACCTTGTTCCCATCGTCCTTGGAGGGACTAGATACCGTTAATACAGGAACATTATGATTTAATCGGTTTAGCTGAATCCAGCGTTGTCTTATTCTCCCATGTCTAAGCACTTTCTTATCATGTCGCTTAGTTTTCGAATCCCGGAACCTCTGTGACTTCTGGTCAGTCATACTCTGGAGTTTTGGAAAATCATTCTGGGTGAGAACATTGCTTAACTCCTTCCTTAATCTAGAATTAATGTTTATGAATTAAAATAGCTTACTCCTCCAAGTCTCTTAATTTTTTTCTAATTTCTGGATGGAAGTGTGATAAAGTATTTCAGTAACTTCATTAAGTTGCAGAATCTAGGAGCAATAACAAAATGTTTGCAACAATTTAAAAAGGTAAAATTTCATGATTGACTTACTTTTGTTTTCTTTGTCCGGCTGTAATCTGTCCATTATTTGGCAATCTTACTTCCATAATTTAATCGGAGATATGAAGACTAAGATGGTGTGGCCTTTTGTATGGTCGTGGATAAGAAGTTCACTCACATTTTAGGCTCGGCACCTAAGAGACTTTTGCATTAGGAAGTCATAGATTTGGCATTAGGGAGAGAAGACGAAAATATGCTATTTGTAGATAGGTTTTCTCATAGACATGGTCCATGAAGTAGAGGCTTGACTACAAGGTTTACTTGGTGCACATGCCGCTCAGTGACAAGAGAATCTGCAACTTCAAATTAGGCTTCCATGCCACTGGAGAATACGGACTTTGGGGACTTGTTCGGTGAGGCTGGAGTATACGTTCTAGAAAAAGACTTGAGGCAGAGTGTAGAACATAACGTATTGAGTGGCACGGATGAGGTTGCAGCGATGGAGTGAAATCCCCGAGCCAAACAGGCAAGGAAAGGATCCTACGAAGCACGAAGGAGACTCCGAAAGAACTTGAAGGAGGAGAATTATGAAATCAACTGCAGTCTTGGAACAACATTTCTGGCACAATGGGAGGGAAATGGGAACTTTCGGGGAGTGTGATTTGGCGTCAAACAGGTCTAGATAAGCAAGCAGGAAATAGTGATATTGAAGGTGTGATGCGAGGTTATGGGATTGGTGAATAGCAAGGACAGACGAAGAGATACCACAACTTTTTACCAGACAATTGGTCGAAGTTTTAGTGTGGTTCTAGGAATAGCAGGGCTCACTGGCGATGTCGTCGAAACGTCTGGGAATGTACCACGTCCGCAGTCCGACTGCCAATTATCATGCATACTATGAAATCCGGTCAAAGTGTGTTCCTCTAGGTCTTCCTGCCAATATTTCGAAGTTGCGAAAACAAGGTCAAACAACTTCTATAAAACGAAAGGAGACTGCGACCATACAAAGACCACACGAACACGGTCTTTATTTCTTCGATGTTTCATTAAAGTAAACCGACAATTGGCCGTCGTCTTCTGCTGAGATCGAGCTTGAGTATCTTTATTGCACACGTTATTAGTCAAAATCAAAGTGAGCTTAGCAATAAAATCGGTTTATCAATGTTTTCGTGTATGTTCTCTTCTTGGCGGAGACAGTTCTAGCAGCGGGAAATGTATTTTTCTCTCTTCCAACGGCAGAAAACTAGGCAACCATGGCTCCTGACTACGAGGAGCAAAGGATTGATAAGTCAGAGATGCTGGTTGGGTCTGATCCATCCAGTACAAATAGCTTACTTCCATTTTGAGTGAAAGTGTTGGGTGAAGAGATTCGAAGGTCGGTACCACCAGAAGACAATGGTAGATTCCTCTTGACCAGTTGTCGATTGGCTTTACTGCAACATTCATGCTGACGCTGTTTCCGAGGCAATCTCCTTCGATTATGGTGATGAGCTTTCGTTCGCCACATGACGAACATCATCGGAGCAAGTTATCATCGTCACAACCAAATTCCAGCTAACGAGTCAAGAAAACTTACCGGCAAATCCCTAAAAAGTGGTATCTATACTCTACATCTGGCCTCTTTGATCAAGCATAAAGTGATTTGGTTAGTTAAGGTCATAGGTCAACTTCGATGCATGTGAGTGTGTCTGTCTCTGTATGTGTATGTGCCTGTTTGTGTTCGCTTATGCACGAAACCTGCAGTAATGGCTTAAAGTAATGAGGACAGCAAAAAGGAAAGTCTGTTTTTGGCCATCAAGGTTTGATGATCCTTGTCTCCCCCTTTCTACAGACATGTTATAAGCATCACTCCGATTACGCCAGGTCGGACACTCGTGTGGTTTTGATGATCAACTTTTTTTTTGTTTATGGTCTCAATGCGAGAGAGAAGGAGTGAGCAAAAAGTACAGAAAAGTGACTACGATTAGAACCAAAACAGGAAAAGACTAGTTGCCTCGCCTCCTTTTTGCAGGCGGCTCAACTCCCTCTTTATCCTCCAGTCCATTAATTGAGTACACTTTCACTCGAAATGGAAGTAAGCACAACAAAGAACCTTTGACTCTCTGGTTACAATCAGCTCCTCGATACGTTTTGACAGATGCAGAGATGATTGCAGTTTGTTACATCATCTACACCTTCCGTCCATCATTTCCGTTTTTATCTCTGGCCTCCCAGCATCAGAAGCTGTTGCCTGCTTTGCCAATTGCCCCCTCAAGGGCGACTGACGCAGTGGGAAATGGTGGAATTGTGAGCTGCATTGACGAAACGTTCTGTGCCCCAACGAGTCAACCCGACTGGAAGACTCGAACTACGTGCCGCGTCAGACGGGCAGAACAACAGTTGTTGTCTCTCAAAATGAAGAGTTGAGCGCACTTCCGGTCGCGAATTTGGAGAGCTGTGAAGCCCGACTAAAGCTGCCAACTTACCCTCACGGACAAAGTGACACTTGCGCGGTTTCACGACCAGCATCCTTGACCTTGACGAGGCCGCCTTAGGCAGCATCGAGGGAACATGACAGTATCCTCGGTCTGGCACAGTCTGTTTGCATCAGAGGGAGGATTCGGTTGAGTGGGCACATTGCCAATGGGTGCCTGCGGAAAAATACACCTCTCGGCTTGCAATAGATACGTTTTCTCCGTTTTTTCTGCTGTTTACTTGCGTCATTGAGTAGCCGATTGGGCTCGTCTTCTCTGACGGATTGTCATTTAGTCACCCGTATCCGAGGCGGCCTCTCAGGCGAGACGGCTTCAACTTCAACGTATGCTACACTAAAACAGCCTCACACGAGATTG